GCCCCATCATGAGGGTGGACAGACCATGGTATGGTGTTTCTATTACATCTGTGGTGCAGTCTGGAGAGGAAAATGTACATTTCTAGTTACCCACATACATGCTTCTTACCCACAGTACTCTCTTCAGCATAGAAAGGAAACAGAATTAGTAATTTAAAAGTTGGCTGTTTGGTGAATACAACCTTTGAGCTAAGATAAATGAAGTCTGGAAGGATGTCTGGCACAAGCTGTCCAAAGGCCCACAACACAAGAATTGTCAATTTAAGAACCAGAGGAGTTACACTTGGGAAAAAGTTCTAATTCCTCAAGTTTCCTGTTTTTCAGAGTCCCTGCCCTTTTACCTATATTGTTTACCACATGGTCACCTTTCCTTATTTCTGCAACCTTCAGTATACCCTTAGTTTATAGAAGGCGTTTAATCACCTCAAGAATTTAATCCAGCTGAGTGGATAGCATGCCCTCAGTTTGCTCTCTAACTCTAAAGGCAGAGGGTGGACCATTTAATCCAAAGCCTATTATAGAGTGGATCCAGCTGGGAGATGATCCAGCTAAAAGGTATTCTTTATCCATAGTTGATGAATACTTCTCAACATCAACCTGAGAAGGAGACTTCCTGACTTGGTCTTTTGCCTTGGGGTTTAATCTTCCTTTCAGGATTGTTCCCCTATAATCACGGATCACAATATGGGAGTGGTTTTAATGTAAAATAAAATCTTTATGTCAAGGATCTATCTACCTAGCAACATGAGAACCTATATGAAATAAAGAGGGTAGTGACTCATCTTCTAAACCTCAGTTACTCATTCACTCAAAGCATGGAGCCCTAGACAATCCTCTAGGCACAGGGGACAGAACGGACACACAAGGTTCTCTCAGCCCTCAAGTCCGATACTTTTGTGAGTATCCTTGTGATCCTTGAAGTGAATCAACTGTCCACTTATAAACTCTATACTTAAAACTACCCTGGGTATTCAGGGTGTATTCTCAGTGCAGCTTGCAAATATGTGCTGCTAATTATATTCCGAGGACTAACAACCACCACAGCTTTGGGTTTCTCCTCTCTCCCTCTTCCTCCTTCCCACCTCCAGAGCTCGTGCTGCTGCTGCCATGGCAACCCGAATGAAAAGCCTTGGAACCTTATCTCTTACTATGGGCACATGTCTCTCCATAAGGACCTTGTTGTATGTCAGCCAAACCGGACTCTTTAAATAGACCATTAAGTCATGTTGAAGTTGGCACTGTAGGGGGGAGTTGATGATGGTTTTTATTTAGTCAGGGCCCTAGGAATTCTCAGATCTTGCTTCTGACTAGCTATCTTCTCCTTCTTTCAAAGAAAATGTGCATTCATGACCAAGCAGAGCCTAGCTATGCTTTTTACTAATTGGGGCTTCACACTTAAACCCCAACAAGAGTCTCTTGTGAGTATATCCAGTCCCTTTTCACCTCAGCCAGGCTGGCCTGAGAAGTCTGCTCAACTACTAAGAAATCAGAAAAAAAAGCCTGTCCTGTGAGCCCCAGGACCTGACATTAGCCCAGGTCCTGGAGCATTCTGGACAGGGCTTAGCCCAGCGCTACCCCTCGCCCCAGACATCTTCCCACCCCTTTTCTTAATCTGGTCTCCATCTTTTCTCCACAGACAGCTCCACCAGAAGCCAGGGGGGAATCCCTGATTTCTTTTCCCTTGCCTCCCTAAATACCTGATCCCTGTCAGATCTGCTCAACTCTGCCTCGGACACAAAAGCTCCAGAGATGCCGTTCCCCCTCTCCACTCCTCCCCAGTCCTTCTGAGAACACATGGTTCTCCTCCGCTGAATTTACTGGCTTCTGCCTATGTCCCTTGTTCCACTCGTGTCTGCCTGAGCCTTTCTTTAAACATCAGCTGGAGTGGTCTTTTACAAAGGTTATGCTCTTTCAAACTCTTCTTAGGATAAAATTCAGAACCCCCGCCACACACACACAGGACACAGGACCTGCCCTACACTGCTGAGCTCCTGTGCAGCCTCATCTTGTACTGCTCTCCACCCAGCACCCAAGCCAGGCAGGCCTGGTCCCCTTCAGCAGCTCCTGTGACATGGACCACGTGTCTCGAATCTCCTCCAGAGTCAGACAGCTGCCACTGGCCTCCCCATCCCACCACCAAGCCTTTATGCTCCTTCTGTCTGGAACACATTTCTCTCTGCAGCTCCTGCCATGATTGGCGTTTCCTCAGTTGGAGGCCTCAGCAAGGCCTCCTCTGACCAGCCTAACCCAAAGTGCTTTCTCTCATCAACAATTCTTTACCAGAGAATTCTATTTATTACTACAGCAGATTTTCCAAAACATGTTACTGTTTTTGGGTATTTGTTTGTCTATCATTTGTCTCTTTGACTAGGAAAGTAAATTCCTTGAAAGCAGGTTCCAGATCTGCTTTATTCACAACAAATGGCATGTAAAAGAGGCATAAATAGTGTTAGGAACATGAGTGATCCTGCTGCAATTCCCAGAAAAAGAACAGGACACTTGTTTTCTTCTTTTTCTTCTTCTTCTTCTTCTTCTTCTTCTTCTTCTTCTTCTTCTTCTCCTCCTTCTCCTTCTCCTTCTCCTTTTCCTTCTTCTTCCTTAACTTTCCCACTCAGGAGTCTTGATAGGTGGGATTCTGCTCAGATGGTGCAAAAGAAGAATTTTAATGAAGGGATTATGTACTGCAGCATGGTCCATATTAAGAGAACCAACACTGGATGTTCAGATATCAGAGGCTACAAGAGCCGGGAGCCATTATATTCTAAAGATTGGGAAGAAAGGAGGAGAGAACCGTGTTCTCTGAGCCCAGAAAGAGCTGGAGTTGTGGAGGAAGCTGCCCGTCTAGACATGTGGTCTCAGGGGAACACAGTCATTGCCAGATTGGGGGCAACTAACTAGGACAGGAATGTTCTTTAGTCCATTCTCCTCCATGACTAAAACCAACTGAAAACCAGTCATCAAAGGAGCCAGGTGAATAAATCAGTTTGTAGGTCAACCTACTAGAGCTTTCTAGAGTGTTCCACAGCCTTCTCGATGAAGTGACAAATGAAGATTAACCAGCACAAGTTTTTACTTCTAGAAGCTAGAAATCAGGCTGATTTTGCTCCTAAGATTTAGGAGCCAATTTGATTTGGAGTTTATGCTTAGAATTTAAGTACCATTATGGCTAAAGGAGAAAACAACTGATCACCTTACTAATAAACTTGAGAGCACAATTCATGAGGGCATTGGAGCCTGACTCAATTTCTGAAGTGTTTTGTTTTTTTAACTAATAAGCACAACACAACATTCTAGAAAAATAACTCTATAAACTTATTTGGTCACTTTTTTTTTTAATTTTATTTTGAAAGTAGTAAAAATGCAACAGCACAAGACAGAACAAAGCCAATGGAGACAATGCTGTGAAATTGGTACAGGATTTCACAGTAGGATACTGGGATAATAGTAATAGCTACTATGGTATATCTCTTTAACCTCACAATAGTTGTCCAGTCAATTAGGTATAGCAAAATCAAACCAAAAATAGAACATTATAAAACCAATTGAGAATACTGAATAGAGCAAAAGAAACAAAACAAAACAGTGAAAACAACCTTTGCCTTCAAACAGAAGATAGAAGGAAATCCCCCATATTTGCTATACTGCATATGGTCATCCTCCCAGGAGATGCTGTGACATAGCTATAGGGGCAGGGGGCAGGCGGGGGAAGGGTGCTTGATTTTCAGCCAGCGTGGCAGTAAGCTAACAGGTAATGGTGCTCCTCCAGGCCCATGCCGCAGGCGCTTACCAAGAGGGCGGTGAATAAGCTGCTTGAGTCCCACCATGGTCAGATCTCGGGCATTTGGTCACTTCATAACTTGAATTATAAACCCTACTGATGGATATACATAGTCTCCTTACCAAATCTATGGAACCAGTATTTCACAAATCTGATTTCTAGGTTCTGTCAGATCTGTTGCAGTGGAAATATAGCTAGAATTTTTTAAACTGAGTCAAAAAATACTTTGTCTTTGAGTTCCAGTATTTATCTTGTTCTGAACCGTTGCTGTGTGAGAATATCCATAGCTGACTCATTCTACTCTACAAATACAGTATTGCATCCAGGCTTATTTTAGGGATATTGGTCATCATGGAGATTTTACAGACACACAGTTGGAGCTCAGAGAGAAGTGAAACACAAGTCTTCCTGAAAGTTGATAATGCAGCTTGGGAGAAAAGCACTTAATCTTTGCAAATTTAGTAGTGGGAGCACAATATCATTATACAACTCTTCCAAATCTGTGGTTTAGCATTTGACTTGAAAGCTCAGACAGCTATATTGAAAGTTTCAATAGGCACAAAGGCCTTAGGCCAGAGAGGCAGCCTCTAAATTGATTGTGTCTTTGTTAATTAAGGGCCTAGGTCTGTGAATGGAGCAACAGGGCAGCAAATAGCAAGCTCAGTCCCAGTTCATCTTCTCTGTGCCTTAAATGTTCTGAACATTGGAAACAAGAATCATTGATATTAAATCAGTACACCCTTTGTCTAGCTGCCTTGTGTAACCAGAAAGCATGCACTATGTTTATTGTATTTATTGATTTACTTAGGCTTAGAAGATAATGGAATGCTAAATAATAGAATAGACTGGATTTTATCTTTCCTCAATGTAGAAAAGAGGCAAATTTCTCTAAGCTTTTAAATTTTAATAATAGAAACCTATGAGGAAAATTCAAATTCGTCTCTCAGAGTCCTTCCCAGAGATTCTCATAGTCCTTCCCAGAGACGGAAAATAACTATTGGCTGAGGACAGCGGTGCATGACTATAATGCCTGAGTAGGAGGCTGAGGCAAGAGGGTTGCTGAGGGTTTGAGAGCAGCCTGGGCTACATAGTGCATTCAAGGCCCGCATGGACTACTGTCGTGAGTGTCTAGAGCACTCTGAACTCCGGGCAAGGTAAACACGCACGCCTTGTCGGGACACGGGGGGTACAGCGCTTGGAAAAGAAAGACAGGAGAGACACCTTTGCTGTCTGCACCGCGTTACACTGCACTGCACTGCACTGTACGCACAATCTTTATTTTAGGATTCATATATAGTAAACCCGATCAATTCACAGAGCCCAGATAATTAAGTAGTGAAAAGGCATTCTTTGTGGCAAGCTACAACGTGACAGACTACAATGTTTATTCTAAAACTATCTAAGTGAAGTAAATAATCACAACCAGTTCTCACAACTTCTCTAGCCCAGGAAGAAATTCATTAGCTCAAGAATGTTGTTAATTTGTCTGCTGTTAGTGTCACAAAGGGTGGCCAGCCACTTCCTCAAGACTTCTGCAAAACAAAGCCAGCTCACAGTATGGATTCCAGAGGGTGAGGGCTCACTGAGAACAGGCATTCCCGTTCTACCTCCTTCTCGCATACCAGGGCGGCTATTGTAAATTGCAGGTTAGAGGGGGTTGGGCCTACAAAGTGACACCTCATCCCCCACACTTCCTTCCTTTTTATTTTTTAACAATAATTTCCATAAGATCAGGTTATTAATAGCATTTCGTCTTATGCAGTAAAAATACACAAGAACTATGGCAATGAGAACTATAATTAAACTAAGTCCCATGCCACTAAAAGTGTGGGTAATGCTCTGCCAGATTCCTTTGGAATCTAATCCTTTCAAAGATTGAGCAAGCAATTGCGCGAATTGTGCTAGAGATTCATCATCATTTTGCTTTGCAAAATCCTTGTCAATTTGATTATGCAAAGATTCTATTTCCTCCTGGGCAGAGGTGTTTCCATTTAAATACATTCTAATCATTTCCCATTCATGTTCTGTCTGATTATAAGGTCGTTGGGTTATACAGAAAGTAGTTGAATTCCAATCACATTTTAAAAACACTTGATGCTGAAGAGCCAATATTTTTCTACCCATCCATTCAACTGTTTGTTTAAGGAGGTCTATTTGTTGTTGTAGTTTGGCGTTTATTTGCCACTGAGTTAACCAAAGTTCATGAGAATTCTCATGCCATAATTCGACAACATGTTTTTCTTGCAAAGAGGTATGTAAAGCTACTCCTGAGACTGCTGCTAGAGAGGCTACAGTTATCAGACTTAACAGTACAGCAACCACTATTCCAATAAATCTTTTTGTACGTTTTAACAGATGTTTAAAAAATTCAGTAGTAACAGAAATTACCGGGTCTTGAGACCAAGGTCGAGTTAAATTTACAGGCAACCAAATATGAGTTTTTTGTTGTAACAGCATAACTGTATAAGGCTTAGTGAAATTTAGTGTGCTATTTAAGCATGTAAACAATTGACAATTTAAACAAGTACAAGAAAAATGTGTAAAATTAAAAGTTCCCACTAAAAAGACATAAGGTAGAGGTGCACAAACAGTAATATTATACATTTTAAACCTAGTAAAATTATAAGTAGTAGATACAGATCGACTAGTCCCTGAATATGAAACATTGTACAAGGTTACAGGTTGCATAGCGGCTGGGATCTTCCAAATATGATTTTGAAGGTGATGAGGGTATTCTTCGGCTGCAACAGCAGGGTTAGCGATTCCACCATCTCCCCACCACAAGAGAGCCGTCTTTTGTTGAAATATAGGAGCTCCGTCAGTTATTTTCTTTGGATCTGGAAGACTATACACAACAGAGAGATTACATCTTGTCTCATTCCATTCAGCACATCCATTAACGAATTTTCCAAATGGTCCCCAAATAATATACCCATCAATATTTTTAGCAAATTTTCCCATACATAGTTGCCAAATTATGGGATTATAAGAAATATTTTTATAAGTGAATTCAGGGCATACAGGAAATGTATTTGTATCAGGTGCTGTTAAATTTTTCCAGGTAACATTAAAGGTTTGAGCAGCCAAGGCTTGAAGCCTTGTCCTTTTGTTGCCTGCTTTTATTCCATGTTGAATCCAATACTGCCATCCCAGAGGGATGCAAGGCGGTTCCCCAATGCAAATAGGCCTTTGATTACCATAATAAGTAAAATTGAATAGTGTCCCATCATCTTGATTGTGGGGGGTTAAATCAGCCCACGGTGCTGACAAAATTTCTCTAGGTGTGGTATAAAGTAAAATATCACTAGTTCCCCATTTTACAGGTTCTAATAAAGGGGGGTTTGGAATATATGCCCAGTACGAATGCGGAGGTACCTCAGTCCCCGATGCAACGGTGAGCAAGGCACATAAAGCTAAAAACAAGTTTTCGGGGTTTAAAGGCTTTCCTGCTTGAAGGACAAGCCGTTGCCCTTCTATGGTCAATTTCTTTAATTGTCCCCATGTAGGGAGGGGATTTAAATTTGGTCGCTGTGAGCGGCGGGATTTTCTTAGCTGTAATCTGGCCATGGCTGCGATAGGAACAAACTCAGCATCCTCAGCTTCTAGCTGGTTTCGCGCTCGCTTCTGAAGGCACGGTTCCGGTTCCTTGGGGAGTTGTCTCCGGGGCTGGTGAACAGGATCTGGAGACGCGGGTCCTGATCCATCGTCCAGGGACCCACTGCTGAATTCCATTTTCTGTGGAGATATAACCAAAACCTTTCCCCCTATAGAGCAATGTGCCCCTCTCCCATTCAGCCTCTGGAGCTGTTTTAGTCCAAATAGGTTCATTAATCACAAAAGGCTGTTGTTGCTGTTCAAAATGTTTTTCAGCTCTTGTTAATATTTCACCTTGTGGTAAATTGAGAAAATTTAAAATAAACAATGCTTGATGCAGTAATGTTTTTGGACTGTTTTGCAATTTAAACAGTATTGGTATCTGAATATCCTCCTGACTCCTCCTTTTTAATTTTTTAATTTGCAACTTAAGAGTGCCATGTGCTCTTTCAACAATAGCTTGACCCTGGGGGTTATATTCAATCCCTGTAATATGAATAATATTATGGAGATCGCAAAATTGTTTAAATGTTCTGCTAGTATAAGCAGGTCCATTATCTGTTTTGATTTTAGAAGGAATTCCCATAACTGCAAAAGTCTCCAATAAATGTACAATAACATTTTTAGTGGATTCTCCCTGTTGAGCAGTAGCCCATAGAAATGAAGAATAGGTATCAATAACTACATGTACATAAGAAAGCCGACCAAAAGAAGGTACATGTGTAATATCCATTTGCCATAATTCATTAGGTTGAATTCCTCGAGGGTTGACACCTGCGGGAATAATTCTTAAATGTAATGGTCTACAAATAGGGCAGGCTTTTACAATCTGTTTAGCTTTTGTAAAAGGTATCTTATATTTAAGATGCAAATGTCCTGCATTTGCATGATTAAATTGATGTTCTTTAACGGGTGTGGTGAACATAACTAAGGAATCCACTGCATTGTTACCTGATACTAATGGTCCGGGTAACTGAGAATGAGAACGTAAATGAGTAATAAAATAAGAATGATTTCTTTTTTGAACATGTATTTGTAAATTTTGAAATAAAGACAATAAAGCAGGCTTATTAGAATATAACACAGCTGAATAGATATTTGTCACTACTCCAACAGAATAGGCCGAATCGGCTATAATATTAATAGGTTGGTTATGAAAATCTAAAAACACTTGTAATATAGCAAAAAGTTCATTTTGTTGTACAGAGTTAAAATTTGTCTGACGTACCCAGTAAGATTTTTGAGTCCAATATGCAGCTTTATTTTTAGATCCATCTGTAAATATAGTCAAAGCTTGTGGAATTGGCTGTACAGCTAATAAGGTATTAACCACAAATTGTTGACGTCTAAAAAAATCCCATAATTTACTTTTAGGAAAATGATATGAAAAAGTTCCCATGAAATCTGCTAAAGCAATTTGTAAGGTTTCAGTAATTGACAACAAATATTCCCATTGTTCCTTAGTTAAAGGGATAACTATATTGTTTATATCTTCTCCTATCAAAGTTATAGAACGAGCTCTACCATTCATAATTAAAGCTGCAACCATGTCAATATAAGGCATAACATTTTTAGATTGCCTAGTTTTAGTGAATACCCATTCTACTGGCATAGCATTTTGACCTAAAACTGCAGAGGGATATTGAAAAGTATTAATAATATATAAAGTTAGAGGCAATTTAGGATCAATCCTAATTAAAAATGCATCCTTAATTCGTTGTTCTACAAACTGTAATTCTTGCTCGGCTTTTGTTGTTAAAGAACGAGGGCTGGATGGATCTGAAGAGCCCTGTAGAGTAGCAAACAAATGCTGTAATGCATGGGTAGGAATACCTAGTGTGGGACGAAGCCAATTAATATCCCCTAATAATTTTTGAAAATCATTTAAAGTGGATAACTTATCTCTCCTAATAGACATTTTTTGTGGAATCACCTTTTGTCTAGTAAGAATATATCCCAAATAATGACTAACTTCTTCCTTTTGAATTTTATCCTGTGCTATTACAAGTCCAAACGGAGAAAAATATTGAGGTAAAGTTTTTAAAATATCTTTTAAAACATTTCTATCACTATATTAGCATTTTTGTCTTGCCTTTTTCGCACAACCTTCCATAAACCACATGTGCCACTGTAAATATTCTGGCTCCTTTAAAAGAATTTTGGCCAAGGCTTTCCAATCATAAGGAGCAAGATTACCATAGTGATCTGCTACCGATGTTATTAATTCTCTAGTGTAATGAGCCTGAGGGCCATAAAGGGTTACAGCCTTTTTTAATTTTGCTAAATCATCCATATTAAATGCTTCCCATCTAGGGGGAACTGCCTCTCCATCTATTGGCTGAGGTCTGATTACAGGGAAAGCAAAGGCAGGCTTTTCCTCATCAGAATCCCCTAATTTTGGTAAATCAGCCAAAGCTAGCTTGGCTTTACTCCAATTAGGGTTAGATGGAGGAGGTGCAGAGGGAACTATAGGCGGGTTTTGCTTAACGGAGAGTTGTTTCACCTCTTGTGTTAAATGCTGTATAGCCTGTAAAATTGGGCGATTGTCATAATTTGATATTGCTGCGGCAGCTAAAGCTGAGTCGGCTGTAGTGGATTTTACTTTTAGTTTGGACGCCTTTTCACTACTTAAAGCGATAGCGTCATTTTGAACTACATTCTGCTCCTCCTCTGTGAGGGGCAATTCCTGAATAACTGGCTTAATTTCTAGTTGAAGATTTTCTACAATATGTTCATCTTCCATAGCTTTTAATAAAGAGTACACAACCGACCAAATAGCCCAAAAACGTAAAGGAATCTTCTCCTCCTGTTGCATAGCCCTTTCTATACTAACCCTTGCCTTCCTCCATACTTCTACATCCAAAGTTCCTTCATCTGGAAACCAAGGATTATATTCTTTAATTGTATCAATACACATATCCAAGTCAGCTGACCTGAGCGATATGCCATATATAGATAATAAATGTTTAAGAATTTTTAAGAAAGGAGAGGAAGCAGATTGTCCCATTTCCCCGTAATAAAATTATACTTACCTTCCTAAGCGACCTTCGGAGTCCCTGAATTCGGGCGCCACTTGTCGTGAGTGTCTAGAGCACTCTGAACTCCGGGCAAGGTAAACACGCACGCCTTGTCGGGACACGGGGGGTACAGCGCTTGGAAAAGAAAGACAGGAGAGACACCTTTGCTGTCTGCACCGCGTTACACTGCACTGCACTGCACTGTACGCACAATCTTTATTTTAGGATTCATATATAGTAAACCCGATCAATTCACAGAGCCCAGATAATTAAGTAGTGAAAAGGCATTCTTTGTGGCAAGCTACAACGTGACAGACTACAATGTTTATTCTAAAACTATCTAAGTGAAGTAAATAATCACAACCAGTTCTCACAACTTCTCTAGCCCAGGAAGAAATTCATTAGCTCAAGAATGTTGTTAATTTGTCTGCTGTTAGTGTCACAAAGGGTGGCCAGCCACTTCCTCAAGACTTCTGCAAAACAAAGCCAGCTCACAGTATGGATTCCAGAGGGTGAGGGCTCACTGAGAACAGGCATTCCCGTTCTACCTCCTTCTCGCATACCAGGGCGGCTATTGTAAATTGCAGGTTAGAGGGGGTTGGGCCTACAAAGTGACACCTCATCCCCCACAGACTACAGAAACAAAACTAAACCCAATGAAGAAAGAAACAAAAAGACAGAAAAACTAATCTACCGCCTGGCATAAACTCCAAGAGAAGCAGGGTGGATGGTAAAAGTAACATATGACAGCAGAGCTCTTAATGAAATCACCCAGCCCTCAGCCCATAATATGCATCAGATGTTTCTGCTGCCATTTAATTGGCCCAGCATTATTCCTCTTTTAGAGAGGACACAAAAGGCTGGGCTCCACCCAACTGAACCGCACATCAGCGTGAGGCACTAGGTCTTCAAAATGTATGTTTTTAAGGTACGTGTTGAGACAGCCTCATCTCTTCCACTACGTGTGGACTGACCCTGAAGGGTCACCCAGAGGGAAGGGTGCAGTAGAAACAAGGCCATTCCACATTTATAGGCAGGGAAACACACCAGCATCATTTTATGGAAACACAGCTTAAGAAATGCGAGGCGTTTGCTGGCTTCACTCAGAACTCTCATGTTGTGAGAGAAATGTGGGAGAAATATGTGTGAGATTCGGACTCTCCTTTTTCCAGCTAGGAAGAATTTGTCCACTGGAGCCAACCGGTGACAGTGACTGGAAAGGATTAGCACGGGTCTCGCCTGACAGGCTGCTTTGTAGGAACCCATCTGCTCTCTGACATTGATTATCATTATTTTTCCATCATGCCTAAGGTTCCATCCTTAGCAGAAATGTGTGCCAGCTCTCTCCTGAGGAAGGCTCCTGCTGCGAAGCCATCTCTGGCAACGAATCTTTAACAAAAGATCAAAAGCTTGACATTTATTTTTAAGCATGAGAAGAAGAGGTGCACAATGTTGGAACCAAATGTATGCATAGCAAGAGCTGCTAAACAGTTGCAGGAAAGAGCAGTGGCAGGAAGAAATGTTACATGACATGCTGACGGCTTTCCTTTGTGAAATAGCGAGTGATGCCCTGGTGTGCGGTATGTGGGCTATGCAATGGTCAGCTCTAACGTCTTTTTAAAGTAGAAGAGAGGGGACAGTGTGCTTGTTTGTTTAGAAACAGGGTCTCTCTGTGTAATTCAGTTCAAGCTGGCCTTGAACTCAGTATGTAGCCCAGGCTGGCCTCGAATTTTCAGGGATTCTCCTGCCTCAGTCTCCTGAGTGCTGTGAATACAGGCTCGCACCAGCATTTCCTGCAGTGTGTTTACTATTGGGAACCAGGTATGTATTTATTTTTTGTACAATGCTAGGAATTGAACCTAAAGCCTTATATGTGTTAGGCAATCACTCTACCACTGATCTTTTACATTTTTGTTTTCTTTATTTATTTTTGGTACCGAGGATGGAACTCAT